TGTCAGCTGTCAAAATGGGCGCCATATTGGATAATATTTTTTCTAAACATGTCACTATTAATTCGTTTATGGAAAAAAATATAAGAATGTATGATCTTTATAAAATCTTTGTAAGATTCAAAATTCCCATTGAGACCCATTTATCGTATACCAGTGGCACATCTAAGCATTTTTATTATTAGCAAACCGTTTAATAATTCCATCCGCTTTTATCTTCGTTGTTAATTGAGATATTGGAACGAAAACTTTTTTGTTTAAAAGCTTGGAACAAATACTGTCATATACTGGATTCAATTGGTGTGTGACATCATGGCTTACTTCTGGTTTTTCGGAAATAACAGAAAATCTCAATTTATTTTTAATTTTTAAATAGAATCCCGCTTTTTTATTGAAAATTTGAATTTCGGGATAATTTATGGAAAAGAATCACGTGTTAAAAATTTTCTGTCAGCTATCAAAATGACCATCATATTGGAAAATATATTTTTTTTAATACGTTACAGAAAATGTTAAATACACGCCCCAAAAATATCCCAGAAATTCAAATTTTCAAAAAAAAATGTTTTTCATTTAAAAATAAAAAATAAATTGCGATTTTCTGTTATTTCTGGAAAAGCTGTAAGTAAGCCATGACGTCACAGAAAAATTAAATCCATCATATGAAAATTTTCTTCTATTTTTCATTTCCTTTGTTTTCAAACAAATAAACATTCTAAATTTTTTTCAAAATTTTGCCACCCCCCTCCTATAGAATTGTGTAACGACGCCCATGGAGGTTTCTAACACGTTTTGCCACGAAACAGGCCGTCAGGGTTAGTCTGCCAATAAATTACTTAAAACGTATCAAAGAACTCTGTAAAATTATTTAAAAATTATAAATTAACTTACCCCCAGTAATTAATGCTAAAAGTCCTTGTAATTTGTTATTACCATAAAGAGTCTCTAGGTCCATGTACCAAAAAATTTACAAAAATAAAACTATACCTATTTACAGTATTTACACACGCGCACAAAGATGCTTGATATACTAGTTTTAAAGTTTCCGATAAATGAAGTCCATTCTTTTTTCTTTTTTGGTTGCAAAGTTTTCAATTACTTTATTATTAAAATTTTCAATTCCATTTACAAAATGTTTTTCTGCGGATAACATACCTAAAACACTAAGTCTTTCTTCCTTCATTGTATTTCTGAGGAATGTTTTAATCCGTTTAAGCATTGAAAAACAGCGCTCTGCTTCAGATGTTAACATAGGTATTGTTATCAAAATATCAGCGTACGTAAATAAACTAACTCCTGTCCTGATAAGTTTATCGCAGGAGACCGAATAGTTTCTCTCTTTAATAATGCTTTAAGTAGGAACGGGATAAACAATCTACAGACACCTGTAATCAGCCTCTCCTACCTAAATTTGTGAACCCGTCTGTACCGACTGAGTGTTTTGTGGAGTGCGGACCGGGAGTGTACCCAGCCAGACCAATGACATATATAGATTAATAGACTGCTCATCCATATATAAACAAGACGACGAAAAGCGGGTCATATTGCTTGGCTTGCCGAGTGCTCACCAGGCAGAATCGGTCTGGCCCAAATGAGTTTAAAACACATATTTCATCAAAGTAGGAATTAAATTAAAAAAAAATATATCTGTATGTTTATTTCAAGACAGGAGCTTGCGTTAGGTATTTTAAAAAATGATTTTGAGTCGTAACGTCTAGTTTACCAATTTTCAAAACATTTTAAGAGATCTAACCAATTTTGAACATAGATATAAACAATTTTATACTCATGTGTATATAACTAACTTTAGACCATGACTACTGTATAGTGGCACTATTCGGACACTTGATTATTCTTTTAAAATTTATTTCGCATTATAAAAGCAGATATTATGCAAAAATTGAATGAACTTTTTAAAGATTTAAAGTTAGTAGCTTTTTCACATTCTAAAGTTTGTCCCTTTAGATAATTAAGGATTATTTTGGCGGTGAATGTGAATGATTTGATGAATAATAATAAGATTCCACCAGTGGAAATCTGATCAACATCATAGTAAAATGAACTAGGTACAAAGTGCAATCTTAGTTGACTTCAAGATCCGTGTACCTTAGCATCGGTAAGAGGGAAATAAAGATTCTGACTTACAATCACAAAAAGAACGTACAACTAAGCTTAAGCCTTGGTTTCTTTGAACACTCCGTCGCGGTGAGCGGACAGTCCGTCGACCGCTGAGGACAGCAATTTTCGCCCGAGGTGGTTTGTTAAAAAATATAGAAAATGATACTTTCTCTATGTCTGTACGTGCTGTTTATGTATTATGAATGTAAACGAAAGGTACTAAAATGGATGCAAATAAATTGTTTGCGTTGTTATTATTGTTGGAAGAGGAAGAACAAGAGGAACTGGCAATTGCAACCGTCAGTTTCCAATAAGCCAGTGGATGAGTTGTTTTTGTGTCGCGATACAGAAGGTGCCTTTAATATCACTGTGCAGTGGAGGCTTTTTAGAAATGAAACCAAATTTAGGGAGTATTTTAGACTTTCTACAGATCTTTTTGAATTCGTGTTGAGTTTTATAAAGGACATAATTTCCAAGAAACCTAAAAATAAAGTCATGATGTCATCTATGTGTGAATTTGTCACTCATTGTTTTAAAATTAATAACAATATAGTCTCCGCACACGCCGACGATTCCGCTGATATCAAACTCAACAGATATCAACCGACTCTTCGCGACAAATCAGCGGCATGACGCCGTCCTGCTCAGCTAAGCGGATTCAAGAAAACCATTCCCATTTAAATACTCTGGTTGGATAAAATCGTCAAAACGCGACGGTTGACGGACTGTCCGCTCACCGCGACGAAGTGTTCAAAGAAACCAAGGCTTTAGTCGATGTAAGTTAGCTCAGATTAGTGGTAAAAAGAAAGCGACTATTAATAAAAAGATAAGTAATCCAGCTAAAACAAGAATTATGGCTACTGTCTTTAATAATGATATGTTGCCAGTACTAGTAGAATGTTAAGTGTTGAGTTATCTTCTTCAGGCAATGGATGTACGTATGCATAATTTAAAATGTTTGGTTAATTATTATTATTATTATTTTTATGTTTAATGTGTTTTTGCAGTTAATGAACATATATCTACTACTGAAGCAGATAATGAAGATTTGTGTGCTGCTGAATAGCTTTGCTTAATTTACAAAACTTTGTTTAAAAGCAGAAAATTGGGATCGATTGTTCAACACAAGTGAAGAGTGGTGATTTAGTTGATCCGTTTTCAAACAGAATTGTTAGTGCTAAAGAACTATCTACTTTAATAGGATTGCAATCCTTCCAGTTATTAGCCACCATTGTGGAATTAGTAGCAGAGTTGTTTCTAAAGAATAGGAAAAAGGAGATCAGTTATGTCTGTAAAGGATCAAGTTATATTTACTTTTATGAAGTTGAAAATTGATATGCAAGATATAATGTCTTATTCATTTTATTTGGAGTGAATGAAACTTTTTATCGTTAAATTTTTTAACAGTTTTTAATAAAACTGGTAGAAGTTCTTAGTATGGTATAATTCGGCCTTCAAAACAAGAAATATTAAATAATGTGCCTCTATGTAAGTAAGAGTACTACTACTTGATTGTACCGAAATCCCAATACAGCAAGCCAAATGTCTTTGTTGTAGGCTAAAAAATTACTTTGACTACAAAAAGAGGCATACTATTAAAATATTGACTGGAGTGTCACCTACTGGTCTCATTACTTACAAAAGTGAAGCATATGGTGGTAAACTTCAGAAATAGACATTTTTAACAAAGTTCAATACTTGAAGTGTGTGATTCATTTCTCGATAGTAAAATGTTTAACAAAGGTTTTCTTATTGGAAACATAACAGAAGCTGAAGGTATACAAATTATACAGCCTCCTTTCCTCAATAAAAAAAATCAGTTCAGCCATCAAGAGGCTTTACTTAATGCCAAAATTGCCAGAGCTAGAATTCACATAGAAAGAACCTATCAAAGAATAAAAGTGTTTGTCTCTCTGTATTGGTACTTATGTCCGTTTTTCTTCTATTTATATTGAGTTTTTATTATACGATACTTCTCTGTATCTAACTAACTAACTTTTAAAATGTACTTGTAAAGCCCAGATAGCTCTAACTCGGGCCTTTGAATATAATAATATTTATGTAATTGTATTTACAATAAATACTTTATTATTATTAATATTATTATTATAATTAATTATAATTCGTAAAATTATTATAAACGTATTTACCTTGTACCTACTTGTATTGATAGTTGCGTGAAAAATGAAATGATACTTTTTATATTTCTGTGGCTGGTCTTACAAACCTTTATAGAGCAATTCACCATTTAAATTTAAAAACAAAACAAGTTTTTATACTCAAATAATTAAAAAACTTAAAACAGAACATAAGTATAAGTAAAACTAAAAAATAAACAATTCAACAAAATGTCCGACTGAGTAATGACAATGAGAACAAAATCTCAACTAGACTAAACTTTCTTTAAAACCGGTTCTGTGAAAGGTTTGTTTACCAGTGAGCACTCAAAATTGAGACAAAACACAAACATTGCATGCACTAGACAAAGAGAAAACATCTCCCAGTTCGACCCACTTTTCATCGTTTTATTTACGTATGGATAAGCAGTCTATTTAAGCCAGACGGGTAAGGTAGACAATGAGACATTGATGAGCGAACCGAAATTAAGTCAGTCTGTCTGGCAAGGTGGTCTAATCTGTTTTGTTTTGCGAAGCTCCGTTCAGCTAGAGCAAAATAGTTTTATTTTATACCAATTTGAAAGTACAGTTTAAATAAAGGTAGTTTAATTGTGAAGGAAATATTGTTTCATAATTGGTTTCTCCTACAAGAACCCCACTAAAAAGAGAGAATTCTACACACCCCTTCGTCAAGTGTGAAATTTGCAACTGCCCGTACCCCCCAGATCATTTTAAATAAGGGATCGGTTGGAAGATAACTCTTAAGCATTAAAAACAACGCTCTGCTTCAGATGTTGACATAGGTATTGTTATTAAAATACCTAAAAGTTTAAGAGTTTCCTAAAATGTACAATTTAGACCTTCATCATTTAATAAAATTGAGAGTGGGACAGCTCCGGAGGTAGACTTAATTCGTATCTCTGATACAGTACTTGTAATTTATTTTTAAGCATATTTTTGTCAAAAAATAAAAATTGTATACATGTTTCATTGAGGAATGATTCGGGAAACTGATGCCTATAGACCGAAAACTTCTCCGACATAAATAAATTACAAGCGACCAAATGCCCAGAGAAGTTAAACCTTGTTTTTATTTGCAATAAAACGGCATCGCATATTTCTAAGGCTTCGCGTTTTTTACTGTTTTCTTCAATTCGTGCCTTTTTTCTTATTGGTTCACCAGTTTCTCTTTTCGACGTGTTTATTTCTCCTTGAATATTGTCAATAATGCTGTTCATTTGCTCCCGTATACCTTGAATTGCTTCTTCGAAATTCTCCAAATCTTTCTTGACCTTAACAAAATCTGTGCATACTTTTTGTAATTGGTTAAAAATAATTACCACTTGAGGCATTATTAAATACTTAACTAAAATATAAAATGTTTATCCTGAAGTTCTAATTTGTACCCACTTGCTTGATTAATAGACGACGAATCGCGTGAAGTACTTTCTATAATGTCCACAACTATAATAAGGTCTTTTCTAGTCTCATAAACAGTATGAACACCTCGCGATTAAAAATTCCAACGTGTTTGGGAAGATCTTGGCAATCTGCGATTAACTACCTTATCCAAAATTGTGTTCTTTAAGGAGACGTGGAAAAGGAAAAGCACAAACCAGGTAAATTAGAAAAAAATATTCTAGCCAGAACATGCACTTTTCATAACTAAATTCATCTGGTGGTCAATTCTCGACTCGTAGGAATTTTTTCCTATAGGAATGTTTGACATATTTCTATACATCGAACATTTATGACATTTTCCTACATATAGGAAAGTGTTAAAAATTCCTATAGGAAAAGGTTCCTACATGTCGAGAATCGACCACCTGGTGTGCATAGCAATGAACGCAATTTGCAAGAGGATATGTTTGTTTAATAATTTTTTGCACACCATTTAATCCACCACTCATTACAGACGCGCCGTCATAGCTTTGAGCAATTAATTTATTTAAACTATGTTTTAATAATGAGTGTAAAACATTTAAAATGCATTCAGCGATTGATTTGACGTCGTGTCCATCGAGCATATAAAACCTCCAAAATATCTCAACTGGTCGTCCTTTACACAAATATCTGAAAACTATAACTAATTGAAATTTACAAGCAACCTCCGTCGTTTCAACGGCAATCACTGCAACAAAAGAAGAATTTTCTATTTCTTTCCTAACTTCTTCGTGATAAACATCTAACACGCACTCAAGAAGTTCATTTTGGATTGTTTTCGTGGTACCTTTGAAAGCTTTTGAATTTTGAATATGAACCTTTAAGTCGTTGTCTAATTCGGCGCTAAAATTCACCAGCTCCTTAAATATGCCTCTATTTTCCGAATTATCTTTCTCATCGTGACCCCTTAAAGCTAACTCAAAAGCCTTATATAATTTAGAATTTGATTTAAAATATATCGATTATTATCCACTTGTTGATTATATTTAATTAGAGCATCACGATAAGTTGAATTTAAGTGGGTTTTTATATTTAACTTACCAAGCATGGACAAGCTAAAACATTATTCATATGTACTTGGGATTTTATTTTATCCCATATATGGACAAGATCGTCTGTGCCTTTTTTTGACCAAGTCTTGTCACCTCCAAACATAACACATACAAAACAAAATAGTTTATTAGTTTCTTCGCAACCACACAACCAATTATTTTTATCATAAATAGTTTGATTAATTTTTGCTCACTTCCACTTTGTTTTTCAATTTTTAAATCGAGAATTGGCCGGCCTAATTCTTTAATTTGTAGTTTTTCTTCTAGCGAAAAAGCACTAAAAGAGTTTTTTAAGCCGCTAATTTTATTCATTGTCACAATAAATTAAAAACTAGGAACTAAGATATTTAAAGTTCATCCAAAACAAAAAAACACACATTAACGTCACTAATACTTCGTAACGTAACGAAAATTTTAAAAGCGCGTAAAAAAATTCGGTTAATTCAGTCAACAATCGACATTATCGAGAAACCACGATTATCTGAACCGCTTTCGACGCTGTGCCTGGCACGAACATTCCTTGATTTTACCGTTTAAATACATGTAAAATGTCCCAATCTGCGTTGCTCACATGAACTGCTGGTAAAATATATCTTTCTCCCTAGTGCCAGCTGAGAAATGGCTCCGGTACGCGGCAAGAGTTTGGAGATTTATGCAGCGCGAGGTTGCCACATTTCAAATAATTTTTAAATATAAAAGAAAATTAAAATATGATAGGACGTTTTGAAAATAAAAAATATTTTTTTGCATAAAAAATAAGGTAGTGCCATGGCACAGTGGCACTACCTCACGAGCCGCCATTGATTCAATGCCAGTCATACGCTTCGGTAGACTCTTGGATCTCCCCAATTCTATGTGCCTCGAATTGTCCCAATTTACTTCCATCTTCCTTAATCTAGTGGAGTTACTGTTGGTGAATCAGACCATAAATAAACTTTGTCGTTTTCAATGTCAAGTGTATTGAGTATTGTCTTTATCAACCTACTTCCTAGCAGACTTGCTTGGAGTTCCATTCTTGGAATAGAGATTGGCTTAATTGGCACAACTCGAGCTTTTGACATTACCAGTGAGACTTCAATAGTGTGAGCTAATAATTTTAAGATATGTTACACTAGCAAATAAATGTGTTTTTACTGGCGTCACATAAAATGTGGAGTTCCATTCTGTTAGCATCAGATATATTTTTACCATAGCACCTGGGAACTCTTACATTTCCAACCTTGTTCAAATCCCTGAGCCATAATGTCCAATATTGATAAAGTTCTTCATCAAGAGCATCATCCCATCAAATATTGCATCTCCAGATATCCTGGATTAAAATCCTGGCTTTGATTGTCAGGTTTGAAATAAGTCCAAGTGGGCCAAAAAACAACATTACAAACTTTAAAACTTGTCGTTTGGTAGATCTATAATGCTGACTCTTACTCTCTGTTAGTCCTTCCAAATGCAATTTAAAACACAAGGTATCTATTTTGCATCCCATGAGATTCCTAATACTCGTTTATTATCTTTGCAAGTAACGTCGTCAGTTGACAAGGTATCCATAATTTGTTTGGAGTTTGATATCCAATTGACTAGATCAAACCCACCTAGTTTTTGAATACGTCTAATTTCCTCAATTTTTTCAATGACCTCTTCATCTGAATTTGCGCAGTTCAAATAGTCGTCAACATATTGTTTTTTGATTATAGCGTCAAGAATTTCTTGTCTAGTGGTCTCTTGTCGGGCGAACAGAGGAAAGCTCCAAAAGTAATAACTAACATCTCGTAAGTATCGTACTCTCTATTTTCCCTCCACAAAAAGCATTTGGTAACTTTGGTCGGCCTCTCGTATACGCACCTTATGAAACATTTCCCTGATGTCAGCACAAAAGGCAACTTTTCTTTCTCTAAACTTCAATAATACACCTATCAATGGTTGAAGATAGTCAAGGCCGGCTAGTAGGTTATCGTTGAGGCTCATACCATGTGACTTTGATGATTAAATACCATTCGAAGTTTATTTAGCTTCTTTGGATCTATGACAGCAAAATGTGGGAGATACCTGGGACCAATGTTTCGTCGTCTCGTAATAATAATAATAATAAAACTCATACTTTTTCTAGAGCTTCAAAAATATATTCAGTCAACATGTCTAAACTAATGACAGTACTTTTTTTTTAATAGGTAAAGGGTGTCCCAATAAGAACTTGAATTTTGAATCGCGTGCCATTTCCATCTGTCAAACATCAAGTGGGCCATATTAGGCATGTGTTCTGCCAAAACATTGACATTTACGAAAATGCCGCGTTACATTCTTGAATAACGTTTATTAATTGTGAAGACTCATTACAGAAATTAAGAAAATTTTTCAGTGACAATGTGCAGGTTACGTGAACATTTTGGTGTACATAATCGTTCGTCGCGACCCACTATTGAAAATTTGATCAACAAATTTGAGTGGACATTTGCATTGAAAGACGAGACAAGTGTTAGACGTCGTTATCCTGAAAGGTCTGCTTAAGACATCGCCGCCGTGAGAGCCAGTGTTAACAAACCTTGAAACACTTCCATCCGACATTGCGGCCAGGAATTAAATCAGTCGCAGTAAATTACAATGAATTTTGACAAACGATTTGTATCTTCTTCCTTACAAAATACAGTTGATGCAAGAGCTGAAGCCAGTTGATCATAGACAGCGCAGAAATTTTGCGATTTGGATATTGGGACAACACGGAGTTGACGATGGATTCCACAACAAAATTATCTTTAGTGATGAGGCGCACTTCCATTTGAACGGCTTTGTGAATAAACAGAACTGTCTGATTTGGGGAAAGAACATCCAAATGCCGTGCACGAGCTTCCAATGCATCCTCAAAAAATGACAGTTTGGCGTTTGGCGCATTATTTGGGCAGGAGGGAACATCGGAACTTATTATTTTTTTTTTTAATAATGAAGGTGTCTTCGTGACTGCTAATTGTGATCGCTACCGTAGCATGCTGAAAGACTTTCTTTGGCTGGAATTAATGGAATGGACATAAATAACTTGAGGTTTCAACAGGACGGCGCGACTTGGCATACCGCACGCGAAACAATGGCGTTATTGCAAACCAAGTTCCCAGGTCGTCATCTCTCGATTTTGAGACCAAAACTGGCCGCCGAGATGTTGCGATTTGACGCTCTTAAACTATTTCCTTTGAGAATATTTAAAAAGTAAAGTATATGGGAACCATCCTAAGACGATTCGACAACTGAAGGAAGAAATCGAACGTAATATTCGTGAAATCCAGCCGATTTTGCTCGAAAACGTCTTCCAAAATTTAGTCAAACGAATATACACCTATCAACGGAGCCCCGGTGTCCATTTGACAAATATTTTGTTTCATATTTAATGTCAACATTTTCTCTTGAAAATTCAATAAAATATTTGCATATTTTTTTTTTAATTACTATGTTTTCTTTGTCATCAAAAATTCAAGTTCCTGTTGGGACACCTTTTATATACAGGGTTTAACTAAATTAATATAACAACAAAAAAGGACAAAAATAAAATACAATATGACTCAACATAGACCATTTCCTTGTTCATCTACTTCTCCTAATTACAATTCTTTCAATCGTGCTTGTTCCATGGCCCTCCAAGTTGCTTCAAAAATAGGAGTATTGTCGAAAAGACATTGTGGGATGTCAGTACTTTAGGATTTGAAATAAGCAAAATAATAAAGGTTACTTTTATAATATTTCCAATAAATTAAAAAATAATATAATCTGTTCTTAGGAATATTTTGAAAATTGTCCATTATTTTTGATTCAAGATATTTCTCAAAATATTTATGCATTCCTATATAATTTGGAAATAAATCAATAAAAATCATATTCGCATTTCAATCAAATTATATATTTTTTTCTTTAGTAAAACGTATGATAAAAATAGTCTAATTTTTTGCTAGTAACTGCACAACTTTTATTTCATACTTAGTTACACAACACGTAAAAAATAATAAAAAATATATTATACTAAATTTTTACAACAAAAAGAGCGAGTTAGACCCTAGCCGAATCAATTTATATATTGCTAATCGAGGATACCGTTGGTTACAGGTATATGATAAAGAGGGAAATATTTTTACAAGTTCGAAATAAAAATATTATTGGAAAACGGTTTACTACAAAACTCAATTAGTTTTTGATTTTAGAGAAAAATAGAAAAAAAATCAGCTACAAACTCCAGTTTTCCAAAATTTTCCAGTTATTTGTGCAAATTATGGCGTATACAGATATCATTTTATTAGCTAGGCAGGGTCAACCGGGATACTCAACACTCAATCAAAGAGGGTCCCAAAGAAAATACAAGATAATTTAAAATATATTTGGCTAGCTAATTATCAGGTTTTTTACCAAAAAGAGTTTCCAACTTTAATGTTCCCATTTTTAGACTTTAAATTGTTTTCACATTTGATCATGATCCAAGAATTATGTTATTTTATACTATAATACTGAATACGTTTATATTTTAGGCAGACCTCCAGCCCCTCCTCTCTCGGCAAATCCGCATGACATGCCAGGCACACCACCAGAATACCCACCAAGTATGAATCCGAACATACCACTATCATGTAACTGCTCTCCTGGAGCAGAGAATAGAAGTCCTCAAAGTTTTAGGAGTTCGCCAAGTCCTTCACAGCTATCTCCTGGAGGACCAGACGATCTGTCGTTAGCCAAAAAGACATCTATCGATGATAGTTTGGAAATGAATAAATGCTTGACTTCAAATGAAAACCATCGAGATCCAGGAACGGTGCAGTAGAATATATTAAAATTATTTTTGTATTATAGTAATGTTATAGTTATAACTTATAACATATCTAGTTTATATCAAATTCAAATAATTTTTAGTAGTTGCTTTTGTTTGGGTTCAGAAATATTAAACAGATAATAAAATCAATGAAGTTGAAGGGCAAAATCTTATACAGTATTTGTCAAGGTATTTATATCATATTTCTTTTGATTCCATGCTAGATTGAATTTGATATAAACTATTATAAACGAGTAAATTATTTATTAATATGTACATTATTAATTTATGTGGATGATAAATACATACAGCAAGTTATTTATTAGTGCATGGGTCAGTCCACTCATTTTCTTTTGCACTACAAATCTTCTATTTCTAATTCAATTAAAATGAATTCAAATATCTAAAAACTATTTTATCCGGTTGCAGGAACCATTCTTAAATCTCTCAAAAGCTAATAATTCCATAACGGTTTTGAATTGTATGCCATTCACACCGATCACATATTAAAGCTCCTTCAAAGTCGATGGAGACCACAAATTTTAATGAACGTTGTTGCAACTGGTGATTTTTTAAATTGTTATAAATTTTACAATTTTGATATTATTATGATCATGTACAGTAAATATATAATTATGTAAAATGAATAGATGTATACTTTTTTATTTGTAGATTAAAGAATTGTTTTTCTTTTACGATTTTTTTTATGATAACTGATTAACCTGCAGTAGTATTGTTTATACAGAGTGTCTCATTAGTGCGTAATTGGTCAATATTTCATTTAGACATTTGTATTGATTCTGAGGAATAATTAAAATATTTTATAATTCAGTTGACTAAAATAATGGATGAGGCAGTTTTATTTACGTCTTTGGGATTTTATTTCTTTTTGTGTCCGTGGAATTGGGAAGTTTTGAAATGTCCTTATTTTATCGGGGTTAGGTTTCACTACCTCAAGTGTGATTACGTGACCCAAATAAGCAACTGTTTTCTGTAAAAACTCAGATTTATCCAGTTGAATTTTGAAATTGGCTTTTCTCAACCTATCAAATATATCTCTAACTCTAGAAATATGTTCTTGTAATTAAGTACTAAACATTAAAATATCATCTAAGTAAACAATGCAAATGACATTATTAGAATTATATATTCAATATTTTTATAACACTCGACATTATTTGTCTTCTTTCTCTCTGTATTTTCGAGATAAGTCCACCACGCAGTCTGCTACACTAACTAGGTACCGTAGAATGGGGTGAATAGGATCGCTGAGGTTAATCGGATCAATAAGAGGGATTTTCATATTCAAAGCCTCAAAAAATTATATTTTAATCGAAACTCCTATTTTTTTGTTTAATTGGTTGCCTAACTATTCCCTATATATTTTGTCGTTCAGCAGTTGGTAGCTACCTTTCCGACTGGTCGCGCCATCGGGTTTTTAATTTCTAGGTGGACTCCAGGCTAGGGGATCTTTAATAGGGAAATGCTTACTCGTGTTGTAGTACTGTGCACCACCCATAGATGGCGCTACTTTACACAAAATTTGCTCGTTGCATTCGTCAAGCAGATTCAGAGTGTATTCAGAGCAGGTTCAGAGTAACGCAAGTGTACGCAAGTTGTTATTTAAAACTTTCAACAGCTATTCAATACTATTCATAGAAAAAAACGCTATTAATGGCAATAATGGTAATGGTTGATTTGTTTTATTAGGTTAGTTGTTCGAAGAGAATTTTTAAAGCTTTAAACATATATAATTATGGTGCGAATTCGTCCTTGTGCTGATCCAGATTGTCAGGATAAAGTTAGTCGCAGGTAAGGAATAAATTTACAATTTTATTTCTTTACAAGTAAAAACTTCTTTTTGTATTTTATTCTTAAATACTTTGCCAAATTTTAAGAGCATATATTATTACTTAAAAGTACCCAATTTGTGAAATAAATTTCCAAAATAATGCGGGTAACCTAATGTTTTCTAGGAAAAATTAAAAATCTTAACCTAACTTTTATCATTTTCTATACAATTTTAGTAACTAGATAAAATATGTGAATATTAAGAAGATTGAAATAAATAGTGTTATTAGTATTTTTTTAGAATTATGCAATAAGTAATGGATACTTTATAGTAGATACCTATACACAATTTTTTTTCCGAATTCAAAATGAGGTACTTTTCAAACATACCAATAATTGTATATTTTATATTGTGCGACTCTTATTATTTTTTGCTCCATATACTGTGACCTACCTCACCTAGGTATCTTCACAATTTATTGATTCCAATTAATAAAAGTTGCATTATTACTAAATTCAAATTCCTTCATTTTATTGAAAAATCTTCTACGATATATTTTTAAGAAATGCCGATTCATTCTCACTAGCTAATAAATTAATAGCTCAGCTGAATTGACTCAAAACAAAAATAATAAAATTAAACTTTATATTTTTTAACTGATACTCTTCTTAATTTTTTACATGAAAAAGAATCAGCCAACACTGCAATAGGAAGTGACAAGTACACCCAACAGCAGCCAGAGCCCACTTTCCCCAGGAACGTTCGTTACAACTTGTAGTGGATACAACCATGGGTGAACTTCGTAATAGTTTTATATTCATATTTCTTTATTATTGTGTACTGTACTAAGAATTCGTGCAATTTTAATTTTAATAATAAAAAATATATGGTTATAATCGTGCTTTACTTCATAATAAGATGTATTTTTTGTTCCACAAATCCAAAATTATAATTTTTCGTTTTCTTTTTAACTTAAAATATTTCAAATGTTATCTATCACAGAACATAACCCAATGGATTATATCCATCTAAGTATGTTGAGTGAATAATTATATGTTTGAATCATTTTAAGTAAAAAACAACGAAAAATTATAATTTTGAAAACTTAGTAGTGGTTTATTAGAAAGGCCGAGTTTGAAAAACCCGCGCTCATTGACCCCTACCGCCATCTATATAATAAATCTTGAACAAATTTTCAATTATTAGTTATCTTCTTTTTTTTTAACTCAACTATTTGCAACCGCTACGGATGGCGCTGAAAGATGAGTAAAATTTTTCACTGTTGAGTGGCCCATCTTTAAAGGGTATGGTCTGTGGTGGACCCACACTTAAAAGTTAAGTGATCCTATACACACCACAAAAGGGAGTATGCGTTTAAACATTAAAAAAGCATGGTCGATCCTATTCACCACAATGGCAGGTGAATAGGATCAGCAAACAAAAAAATATACCCAGCTAGCACAAAAACATCCCATTTACGTTAATAAGCTGCAATTTTAGGCTCTTTAAGCTCGCATGCAATGTACTGTTAATGTAACCCTATCATCCCTGCAACCACCGAATGTCCGCAACGGCAAGACTTTTATAGCACATCTCACAGAGGTTACAAAATTAAAGTTCGGAAAACATCACACTAGCACTTTTACGGTACTTACCCCGAAAGTTGCTCTGAAACTTTCTATAGATGTTATAATGTGAATTAATTCTACAGCATTATACAGTGTGTCCACGGATGGACTTAACAATACTTGTAAATATATTTATTTTAAATTTAAAAGTACTTCTTCATAATTTCTTTTGCTTGTTAAATAAATACGATTAACGTTGAGAAATTATAAAAAAGATCTCTTGAAAAATTTAAAATAAATATCTTTACAAGTATAGTTATGTCCATCCTTGGATACACTATATTCAAAATAGTATATTGAGGATAAAGTAAAATCTGAAGAAAACAAAATAAAAAATTGTATAAATTTATTATTAAAAAGCTTTTGAAATCAAGAACCAATATCATACAAGTAGAGGTAGGTATTAATAATATAGGTAAAAAAACACTGACAAATTGGACAAAAGTAGGTATAAAGGGTATATAAGGAATATCTGAAAGGTTCAGTAGAATCGAAAACACTGAACGCTTGCACGAAAGAGTATAATAAGGTACCTATATTGCAAAGGTTCACTGGTAGCTAAAATGGTGCACGATTGTACAAAAGTAGTAAAAAGTGTTTTTATATAAGGTATATTTCAAAGGTCACTAGATTTATATTAATATGGCAGTTGTAGGATGCTAAAAAAAGATATTTGCCTACAACTGGTACTAATCATAGTTTTAATATGATGTAACTTGCTTAAACTGAATATTGATAAATGTAAAGTCATAAGGTTTAATAAAACAGCTAATATCATTATGCATGATTGTAATTGCAGGTTCTGAACTAAGTTTTGAGCAAACTATAAATGATCTTGATGTTATTTTTGAGAGGGACCTATAAGAGTTTGGAATGCAGATGTCGAGAAGCATCATTTGTTTTCCTGTATAAGTTATTGAACGGTTTGATTGATAGTGACAGCCTAGTACACTTTATTAGATTCCTTGTTCCTGCCAGACTTACTAGGTATATGAAACTATTTTATGTAAATGCTCATAGAACTAACTATGGACAGAATTTATTTGTAGACCAACTGATGTCCAATTACAATAAGTATTTTTCAAATTATGACATTTTAAAAGGTTTATTTTTTAAAGTGTCAACTTTTATTACACTATTGACTTCATTTTTATACTGTGACAATTTTATTAATTTCTTTTTTATTTTATTTTGATATTTTAACCATTTAGAACTTTATGTATCCGTAGCGTACTGTAAACAAATAAATATGTGAACTTAATTACATAGTTTCTTCCGTAAAAATAACTTTGTAGATAATAAATTTACTTGTTTAATAATTATTAAGAAAATAATATATATATATAAAGAAAATAAAAAATATGCTCGTTTAAATCGTTGCACCTATTTTTAGTTGATTTTTACTTACTTTGTTTTTTTTAAATAAATAAATTATAACATTTATTTTGACTTTTACAAATTTGATACTTAATAATGGATGTTCAACTTATACAGAACAATGTTTTTTAGCATGATATTCTGCTATGAAAGAAAAAAAAATAATCTCAGATGTCATATATTCTTCTTCAACCAATTCTGTATTACCTTTAGCTTCTAAAATTCCTGAGATTTTTACTAGAATTATAATCCAGCACAAAGGAAACCTAAAACACAATATTTTTAAAATTTATTTTTAGTGATTAAAATATTATTACACTAGGGCGACCATACTTACAGAAATTTTTCTGTATTGTAAAGCATTTTTAAAGTTTGTCCAGCAATTGGTATTGTGCATCAAACGTACAGCAAAATGGCATAGGTATATATATCCAGTGAAATGCTGTATTTATCCACCAAAACGTCACTACTGTCCAGCAATGGTAATACTTAATTTACTGAAACGTAACAAATTTAAATGTTATTTATCTTTAGTGAACTACATGAGCACTTCTATACTGCTGTTCTAGCAAGAAAGGTTTTATCTGCAAAAATAGCAAATTTTTTTATGTGCATTTGTCTACATTTTATCTTTCTCGATACTGAAATGGAATGTCTTATTTGCAACAAAGGTACTAAAATGTTAAAAAGTTACACAAAAAAAGGTTTAAAAGATAATAAATATAAATTTTCAGATAGGACTTCTCTTGTTAGGATGGCAGTATATGACTTCTCTGTTTTTGTATTTTTATAATTGGGAGTAGGGTTGAGTATCGGTCAAAGGTATCAATACCGGTATCATGTGAGATACTTTGTGGTAGAGGCATCGATACTGTTTCGATATTATGTTAAAGATATTGATATTTATAAGTCTCGAGTAACAAAGTATCGAAAAAGTAAAAGATTTTTTTTAAACGGCTGACAACCCCCATTCAACAGGACGGAGTAGGACACTTAACTAATAACAAGAGTGTATCAGTAAAGTATATTCTGTCGTTGACACCTTTTCTTTCCCTACTGGTACTCTACCTGGTACAAGTTATAGTGTCAATAACTGGCAATTTACCTTATAATTAAATAACAAAAAAACAGTGGTAACGCTTAATCATATTACCAAGTTTCACCACATGCAAAAACTAAAATATTTCAGTACAAATATTTGAACAAACCTTATAATCTCTGACCACACACATAGCGATACAATACTTGCTTCTAAGTATCACTATGGCGATAGTATTGGTAATTCAGTATCAGTGCCTAAATATCGATACTTTCATTGTTTAATATCGTTACTTCTATACAATGATTTATTTTTTATTGTATTTGGAAATTGAAATTTCACCATCTAAAACAACAGACAATAAATTAGAAAATTTATTGAAAAGAAGAAAACAACTTACCAAACTTATTCAAACGTATAGTTTCCAATTTCTTTAAAATCTCAAATAAAATACATACAAGAAAAAGTGACAAGTGACATTTTTTTATGTTTTGTTGGTTATGACAAACGAATGGCTATGTTCGAAAACAAGATTATGTCCATAGTACATCTCATGGAAACTTTTTTAGCAAGTTACTTAATTACGTTGTGTTATCATAACAGGCAGGTTAAAAACGTAAGTAACAAATAGATGTTTCGCGAGGTTTTGATTTCCCTCAACAACTTCTCATTAACGTTGCATTTACGTTGTATGGGTATGTTATTATGTTCCCTTAAAACAACATCGCCGAAAGGCTTGGCAACGTTATGTGCTAGCTGGGTATATATGGGTAACGAATCGCTGAAAAAAATGTTGAATCAAAAATGAGTAGAGCAGATATAAACTTATATTTTGATATATACAGGATATATCTCACTATATCATTCTGAGAGATGCGCTATTTTAAAATTTAAAATTGATCCTATTCACCCCATTCTACGGTACTCGTATTTCCATAGTAACGTGGTCTTATTTGCATTACTGCCACCACCATCTTTCTATTACGTCAAATCCCTGGATATGCATATAAGCTCTGTTGCCAAAATGTTTATTTTATCATTATTTTGTCTTCAAAAACTTCGCCATAAAAGAGCTTTTTTTGAAGATATTCCGGAATGGTTTGTATGTTAAAATTTTCGGAAAATGTGTGCAAAATTTTATGACCCTGAGCATAGGACCCAGAAAAGCATACCCTCCTTTAGTTTTTTTATCTTTAGCCATTCTTTATGGAGTTTCTTAAAAACGTCTTTAGTAATAATCGACTCATTTCGTTTTATTCTTTGCGGCAGTGGTGTATAGTTATCATCAAAATTAGGCTTGTAAAAAATTATTCTTTCAGGTGTATATTTTGGGGCTCTTGTATCAACCACATTTGGATCTCCGGCTTTTCTTCCAGACGGGTATATCAAATTATCATTAAAATTGATAAAAAAAAATCATATTTTAACTTTATATTTTTCAGGTTCTGATCTTGCTTCTTCTGTTATTCAGACATAATCACTAGGAAGGAAAATTTTTTATTACGTAGTTTTCTTTCTATGCTAGCATGTACACTGTCGCATTTCATTTGCGTATGACCTTTGACGAGATATTTTTGTTCAATGATAATATTAAATAACACTATTTCGGTTCTGGTAGGTGCAACCATCTGAGTAAATAATAATGGGTTTTCCATCACTTAAGTGTCTTCTTATGTTATCCACAACAAGTGATGCAAATATGGATGCTTGTAAATCAGCTTGGGTCTCGTCAAACTAATAACATGTACACTGTCTCGTTGCAAGAATTATACACCGTTAAGTTATGGACACAGAGCTTTGTTTTGAAATACACAGCATTTGCCATTATTGAGGGACACAATGTTACGGTTTGGAGATCCATGGTCACAACATGCTTTAGGCTAGCCGCACATTGAGGGCAGCGTAACCTAGCACAGCACAGCGGAGGAAGTACAGAGGAAAACTATTCCTGTGCTCTGCCAAAGCGATATCCGCATATTGAACGTAGGTAGTTAATTTTTCCTGTGTTTCCGTTATAGTTTTTTAAAAAAATATGGCTCCAGCCGCTCAGTTAAACTTACTTTTGGATTCGGAATCAGATTCGAAAATAGAAAATATTGTCTTTTTATATAGTTTGTCCAAAAGGCATAAAAAAAGTATGGAAAAACGATTATTTGAGGAAAAAAGCACTCATGGGGAATTCAATTTAATAAGTGAACTTGATGATAATCAAATGAAAATGTATTTCAGATTTACTAAAGAACAGTTTCAAGAACTACATAACATAATTAAAACTAAAATACAAGGAATAGGTTGTAACGCACAACAGCCAATCGAAACTGAAACTTAACTTGCAGTATGTTTGAGGTATTAACACTTTTATACAAAAAATTTTTATTTTGATTATACAAAAATTAACTATTTTGATTATATCTAAAAATTTCAAAGTAGTTTGGAAGAGATACTTCTTTGGAAGTTGCTTGTATATCTTAAGATTGCTCTGAAGATAGACGAAGTGGTTCGTAATTTAGTTGTGGTGGTGACTGCGATTATTCGTATGTGGAACTACCATGTAATGAAGGGCTAGGTAACGGTAATCCTAAACGATGTTGTGGTAGCTGCAATGACGAGCTACTTGTTTGGGAAAAATTCAACGCCAAATTTGTTTCTTCTTCAAGCTGGACAGCCTCAAAAATGTTTCTTCTAATTCGCAATTGAGATATTTTTGACATTTTCTTGGTATCATTGTACATTGCTATAAAAAATTGGTATAAACCATCTTCTTTCTCATTACCCGATTTTTTTTCAATTAATGATGACATACGTTATCGTTCTTCGTCCCTTTCTTTGCTTCGTATTGTATGATTTTCCAAGGTGTTCTGTAACATAATATCAATTTTTCGTTTTTTGGCACCTATATTTGGTGTATCAGGAGTAGCGACTGTATTGCCTCTAGAACGTTGAATGGATTGTGGTTCTTCCGCCTGGTCCACTTCGTCATCTTGTGTGTTTTCGTTCGCTCCTTCAGTAATGTCTTGCGATGCAGGCAAAACCAAGTTATCTTCAATAGTATTGCTTCTTTCATCCGGTGAAATGTCAACGTTTCCTGTTGTGTTTCTATTAGCTATAAATGGAAGAAGAAATTCCATCTGCTTCTGGTAAGTCCATAACTTTATTGCCTTTGCAGCGTCTCCACTCTTTCTTTTTCCGTGTCGTCGCAATGCATCGCGATGGCAATCTCTTAGTTTTCTTCAAATTTCTTTCACTTCCTCTCCTCTAAAAAAAAGTGAATCATATCTGTTAGTATTCATTTACTTAGGTACACATTTTTTTTTAGGTATTTGGCCACAGGAGATACATTCAGAACCATTGGATTTTCTTATAGGCTAGGGAAAAGGACTGTATCAAAAATAGTAAAAGAATTTTGTAAAGTATTTTGGGAATGCTTACAACCACAATTCGCTCCATGCGCGACAGCAGCGCCAATTTGTTTTGGCATTAAAGGATTAGAGAGTTATTGCAAGTTTACTTAAGGTCAGTCACTATTAGTGCCGCTCTTATTTTGACATCTGAGCATGCGCAGATCACTAACTTTAATAAAGATTGTGCCTATCCTTAATAAAGATATATTGCAAATTTCTATAAAGCCAGCCACTAATAGTGACATCGTAATTAGAGTCAAATAAATTCTAGAATAGTACCTAATATTAAAGAGGCATTATAAATTATAATTTTAGGTTTAAATGACGAGCGCATCCGAAAGCTATAAAGTCGCCACTACCTGCTGCCCTTAAACATCCACAATTAAGGACAGGCACAATCCTTAATAAAGTCAGTTTTAGAACATAAACATCTGCGCATGCTTAATGTCAAAATAAGAGCGGCACTAATAGTGACTGACCTTAAGTGAACTTGCAATAACTCTCTACTATTTCTGCCTATACTGACAAATACAATTTTTAATAGAATTCGTAAATAAAAAGTATATATGTTAGTTTTAATAAAAGTATATGGATTTGTAAAACAAGTAAAACATTAATTTATTATTATTATATATTTTTCGCGCTTAAATTAAAGAAAATTATGTATAATCAATAAAACTCAATAATAAAATATAGGCAGGCAACAGTATTTACTGGAAAATGTATGAGAAGTTGCCTAAGTATAATAAGTTGTCATTGAAGAATTAGCCTATTCCACGGAATACCATTTAATAATAGCGTGAACTTAAAATGTATAAAAAAGGATCGTTATTTATATTTTTATATTTGTTCGAAAGAAAACATAGAATGAATGATTAAAACTGGTTTCCCATCAGTCACAAAATTGCATTCCAGTCACAAATTATAATCAAATGCAGAAATCTTGAAATCTAGTGCTTGTTGAATGAACATTTAAGAATAAAGGGATATTAAAGAACTTCGTAAAATAATACTTTATTGTTTATTTAAAACCTTTCAAGTTTCTGATGTCTACTATTTCCAGCACTACTGTTATTATCACAAAAATAAAGGTAATTTTTCATCTTATTGTACACCTATCCGTTTATTTCTTTGATTTAATTTCCACTTTGCTAGTGAAATTTTTTATATAAGTTTCACTGTTTTTTTTGCTAGTATTTGTACAATTTTAAACACAGCAACTCCGGTTGCTTATTGTGTTGTTTTTACCTACTTTTTTGAAAAAAAAGTAAAATGTATACGTGTATTTGATATGCGAAAATTACAAAATATCGCCCTAAAATGCACGAATTATCCGCAGCTAGCGCTAGTATCGCTTTTGCTTCCCTTTCCATGACTTACATGCCGAATCCCACAACGAATACTTGGGTGACAATCGCAGCAGAATTTGAAAGAAAATGGCAGTTTTATAACTGCCTAGGTGCAATAGACGGTAGACATATAACAATTAAAATACCAGGTCAAAGCAGATCTTCGTTTTATAATTACAAGCAGTACTGCTCAATCGTCTTAATGGCCACTGTAGATGCAAACTATCGGTTCACTACTATTGATGTAGGTTCAATGGGTCGATTTAGTGATGGGAATATATTTACCAACAGTAATTTAGGAATAAAAATAAACAATTGTATCTTGGAATTACCAGTTCCCAGGCCTTTATCTGGCCAAAAAGACAATATGCCATATGTATTTTTAGGGGATGAAGCTTTCCCTTTGAAATCTAATCTGATGCGTCCATTTCTAAAAGCTCAGGTTACCAACAATTATAGAAATAAAGTGTTTAACTACAGGTACAATACTAATTTTAATTTTAACTCGGTTTCCTGTTTACTGACATAATTAATCTTAGATTATCTCGAGCTCGACAAACTGTGGAATGCGCCGTTGGAATACTGGCAGCCAGGTTTCTAGTGTATCGAAGACAAAAGAATGCAAATTGGAAACCGTGGATGATATTGTCAAAGCCACAGACAATGATACGCAGCTCTGAGATTAGCAGTTACTTTCCATACGGTCCAACAGAATACGAAGTGCAAACGAGGCATATTTAGTCAGAGAGAAATACGGAGACTGCTTCAACTCTCCATCTGGAACTCTGCCATGGCAACAACATTCAGTCCAACGTGGGCATTACCAATTAATTATAAAGCTTTTGTTGCTATCACAAATTACTTCTTTAAATAAAGAATATGTTAAAGGAGCACGTTGTACATCCCCATTTTACTCCAGCTTTGAACCTTGAGGTCACTCGTTATTTTATTTTTAATAGATAAATAGTAATAAAAAAGTCTCTAATTAAGTTCTGTCGCAATTCGGGCTCAAATCTCATCCTTATATTTCGTTCTTATATAATCTTGGTGGCTAGTGTCGTTCAAGACCCTATTTTCCCTCACACTTTCAATGAACAAATCCATTTTGCTGATTTTGTTGTTTCTAAAATTTCTAAATACTAAAATTTCTATATATTTTGGTGTAATCTTCGCATGCAGTCAGGCCGCAGTCCCGAAAAAACTGTGTTCATTTCACAGAGAACGCAGCACAGGCAGAGGAAAATTTTTCCTCCGTCTAGTCCTTACAAGTTATTACGTGCAATATGTGGCACTGCGTTTGTTCATGTACGTTACAAAAAGGCTTCCTTTACTCGGCTGTGCTGTGCTAGGCTACGCTGCCATCAATGTGCAGCTAGCCTAACTCCTCTTAAACTTTCTTCCTTGTCATTTACCCTTTCCGCTCTAGCTCTATCTTTTTGTTGTTGGTGTTTCTGCGACTCTTCTTCGGTAAGGATCTGGAATCCTTATTTCACGTATATTTTCTATGGTCTAAGCATTTTATTTCAGGGTTGAAATTTACACATTATACCAGGTCAATAATAGACAAAAACGTAGCGTACGACACGCTCTAAAGTTTGGCATTATTTCAGATTTTGTAAAAATAAATTCTCACCTCAAGTTGTTTTTATTTAATGTCCTTCTCACTGTTCTGTACAAAACTCTCACCCCAGTTTGTTGTCTCAAAAAGTCATTCTGTTTTATAGAGTTCTTTGTCCATCTCCATGCCCATATTTCAAAATAGGCATTGGAAAAAATTAATGGACATACAATTTATGTTTTTCAGGCTAATTGTTTTTTCATTTATTAAAAATTATCAATCACCCCTAGGTATCCCTATCCATACAAACCTAATATTTGTTATTACAGTACACCGTGTTTTTTAGGGATTGCAGGAACCTTTAAATTGAGTTTAGAATTAGAGATTTTGTAAGAATTGACTTTTGGTCGTTGTTAACCAATCTTGTATAATATAGTGTAATAATTTTGTTCTTGCCTATACGTTTTTATCTATTATCGACCCGGTATACTGTGTACATTTCAATCTTCAAATAAAATGCTTATACCATAGAAAATTTACGTGAAATAAGGATTCCAAATCCGCAAAAATCATCAAAAATCGTCAATCCAATGTGAAGTTATAGCATTTTAAAAATTTTGCTGCTCAAATTTTATATTTAGTAGTGTATATAAGACCTAAGGGCCTTAATCCAAAAACTGACAAAAGTGTCTAGATATATTGATATTACCTTAGTAACGAATCATATTGCAACGACCAAAAAAATTTTTTGCGGGAATTTCACTTATACAAACTTTTTGATTCTTTGCATGACTTCATGTTTCACCCCGTATATAATATACCTATGGTCCTACGATAAATATCCGAAAAAAAACTAACTTTTAAAATCTGCAAGCCGCGTCGAGTGGCCAGCAGTTTATAATAAGATATAAAAAGATTAAGGACGGGGTATCCCTGTGTATTAAAAGTGTATGTGTAGACCAAAAGTTAAATCGACAGTTTTCCGAATATGTAGTGTTTAAAAATCTAATTTTTGGCCAAATTAAAAATAAAGGTCTAACTTAGGTCACCTTACTATTGAAAATTAATAAATTTATTATTTTCAATAAAAACCAATCATGTAAAATAACCCCCTTTTATTTCATCTCAAAGGTGCCGTGTAGATTTATTTTAACCTCGATGTCAAACAAATAATAAAAAAAAATGTAATACGACCTAAGTTCAACCTTTACTTGGAATTTGGTACACTCAGAATATTTAAATATTGTATATTTTTCAAAACGTGTAGATTTGAAATTTATAAGTCACTTTCTTTGAAAAAACATGTCAAAACGAATTTGGACTAAAAATGGCGTCTAATTTAACTCTAAATAAACCCCGAAAATTCAATAATTACTTCATGTAATGTAATAAAGATGGTGCTCCGATCGATAATATTTTGACTAGAATTTGATTATTTCCGTTTATATTATGTGTGTTTACGGGGGATATACGAGATGATAATACTGCCTCTGATACTGTTTATATGATACAATTTGAAACGACCTTTTTTCATCGGCACTCTTTTTTCGCCGGTGACCTTTTGACACGCGCCTATTTGTTATATGATGTATGATTATCGGTTATTTATCAACTAAAAGTATAGGAAATTAGTACATTGTGAATGATATCATTTTAATGCTATTTTTGAAACTACCCAGACAACACACCAAATCCCAGAGATATTCACAGAATATCTTTTGTGGATATCCAATATATCCACAGGATATCAGAAATATTCTGTGGATCTAATATGGGTATCCAAATGTCCGTCTATATCCAGAATATAGAAGATATCTTAATGGATATTCAGCAAAATATCTAATAGGTATCTTCCAGAAAATATAAGAAATCCCAGAGATATCCACAGAATATATTTTGTGGATATTCAATATATCCAATATGAATATCCAACCAAATGTCCGTCTATATCCCAGCATATAGAAGATATTCAGCAAAATATTTTATGGGTATCTTTAGTAGAGGTTCATAAGTAACCAATGATTATTGAATAAAGTCGATAGCAGAGATAAAAAATATTTTCAACACTCTGCCTTTGATTTTGCCTACTAAGGAGATAGTCATCCTTATTAGGACTCTTCAGCAATAAATGAAAATTCTCGACTCCAGTCTCTAATGGAGTGATTAGGACACACAATTTCGATCGAACTCAATTACGGCGGGTCGAGCATGAGTAGATGCGATAGTGGTATCGCCATCTATACTTAGTAAGCAGAATCAAATAACATCTAGTGGATATCCACGATGGTTTGCGTTCGCGCCTAGACTTTGATATATTTAGTGGATGTTCATGGGATATTGAATACACCTTAAAAAAAATAATTTTAAATATCTGAACGGTACTATTAGCCACAATGGCGTAATTTTTTAATAATTTGCTATATAATTACTATTATTTATGGACATTTGCATGTCTATAAATTACATTTCATGGATATAAAATAGATATCTACCATGGACTGGACATTCAGTGGATATTGGGATGTTCAGTAGATATCCAAAGGATTTGGTGTGCTGTCTGGGTAGTTCAAAAGTTGCATTTAACGATACTCAATGTTTCATTTTACCGTCAGTTTTAGTTTGACATATCCGTCATTTTAAGTTTACAAAGCTCAGTTTCTATTCGAAAGTAAGAGAAACAGTCAAAATAAAATGCGAAAAACACTTTTTATCAATTTCGTTTATGTCAACTGAAAGCGACAATTGCTGAAGACGTAACAAATAAATTAGGTCAAGAAATAAAAAAATCTATACTATAAGTAACATACCATATATTATACCTGTTAAAATAAATCAAAAATAAGAGAACGTATCGTTGACGTATATACTTTTCCATCTGTGATTAGTGATTACCAATTGCAAATTACGTATGAACATGCTTATGCGCAAAAAAACCATTATTTCAAGTACTTGTATCATTAAAGTCCATTAAATTATTATTTTTATAAATTTGCTAATCTTTGCACATTTTAATCCTCGTCCTCTTCTATTTAAAATTATCTCAGGTGCCATATATTCCGAGTAAAATTTTTCTAATTTTTCAACCATATTTTGAAAAAAAAAATGGGTTGAAAATTAATTTTTTCAACAAATAGTGGATTTTCATCTCCAGTATATACTACAAAGTAGCACAATTTTCTTGGTGCTATACCTAGCTGTCCTTGAATCTAAAAGTATATAAAATCATTATTAGAAAATCAAACATAAAAAGAATATTAATATTGTAGTATCATTTCTAGCACATTTCTTAAAAATCATGAATTATTTTAACATATTGAAATTTTTCACCTGGTAAAAGTAGTTATGGTTTTCTTTTAAATGAATGTCACCATCTTCTATTTTTAAGCATGGAAATGGGTTTGAATATTAGGTAATGTGCGCCAATAATGTCAAATTATGACAATTCGCAGAAAACGTCAACTTTTTATTTAGATTTTAATGTGCAAAAGCCTACCTACTTTGGATATTGATCGTAGAAAAAATATATTCAGAATAATGAAACATTATTATTAAATAACAAGTTTTTTTATTGTCAATTTAATACGTAATATTATTTTTTAATTGCAAATATTTGAATGTTAAAATTATAGCGTTTAATTTTTTTATTCAATGACGAACTCGAGAGTGATAGAAAAAAAATACTACCTACCTTTAATGCAGGAAGTCGATGTCAATTTATCCAAAAATAAAATTGATTAAAATGTACAATGAAATTCACTAGGACACTTGGCACAAATAAATAAATTTTCTATTAAAGAAAATAACACTTATTAAAAACAAACAGCACAATAAAACACTTCAGAAACGTGTAATGTAATTTTGAAAACTAAATACCCGTAAGCTTGTTTGTACATTTATAGACTCTTAACTCCTTCCCCCAGCCTTCATTAAGTATATTAAAAGTCGTGACGTCATATTGGCACAGATATACGGTAATGTGTTATTGACAATCAGGGAAATAAGTACCTAAGATAAGATAAATGAATGTTAAATACCTACTCATAATATCTATTGTAGGGTTTTTGTACTTTAATATTATTACAAAAACATTAGGTTAGTACCAACATCAGATAACAGATAACTTCGGTGTTTAACCAATTAATCACAATTAATATTCTTGAACATTCAAATGACAAAAACTTCCATCTTTAACCAATGAGAATATAGTTTTCATTCGATACTTCAAAATCACAATTTATTAATTAGGTAGAATAGTTTTAAAATATATTGCGAATTGCAACACGTTAATAAGCGTCCCACTCCGACTCAATGTGACGCAATTATTGTCGCAATATATTTTGAAACGACTCTATATTCGTGACTTGAAATTATAAACATCCCTCGTATTACTACCCGTATATAAACCAAATTATTTATTTTAGGAAATATTTATATTTAATGTGAGGCAAGATATCGTGTTTGTTGTTACCATCTACATTCTTTAATTTGGTCCAGGAAACAAAGTCAATTTTCGATAAAAATAAAATGTAATAGGTAGGTAATATTTTATGAAACAGTACAATAAAAGTATTGAAATAAAGTATGCTCATACTCCAAAATGAGTCCTAGAATTAACATTTTTATAATATTATAAATGGCATATAAAACGATTGGACCGTTTTCACAATCGCGAAATAATTTTTTTTTTATTTGGTGAAATCCCGGCAATTATTGAAAAATAGATTTTATGTTCAGGACTATTATTATGATTCTTCGAACTCAGTCTACTAAAAACCGGTTTATAATACAATATCCCCTAATAGCTAGTCGGTCGATATTTATAGTTACTTAAAGATTTCTGTAATAATTTGCACTAATTCAATCTCTAGTCGGTAGGTAACAGCACCTCCTTGATTGAATCTAAATTGACACAATTTTGTTTAGAAATTCCTAGGAGACGCTGTCCTTAAGAGCAATAGAACATATTACAAAAAATTTCTATAGGTACACATATTTTTGATACCTGATTATCAATAAACAATATATTTTTTGAGGGGCAACAGGTTTATTAATACACAACTATTATTTTGTTACAAATATTTATATTTTAATATTTATAATTAACATAATAGTTGATATAAGTCCTTTAAAAATAATATATTTTGATTTAATTGTTGAATTTATACATGAGCAATTTTCCTTGTAGCGTTGTTTACATTTTTAGTTGATAAATCATGTACATGTAAATGGGTTAAATGTAGACAATGTTAATGTTTTTTTTAATACTGCTGGCTGGGAATACTGGGCTGGGACACTAACAAAAAAAAAACAAGGAAGCACAAAACACTAGATTAGTTTTTATCACTTATACTTTTACAATTTCCAACCATTTAAGTAACCGGCATGTTGCAAATACTTTACGAAAACATATTAAACATAAATCAGTCGAATGCAATGTATTTTCTTTTTATAACACACCTTTTAACTTGATTATTTCTAGTACTCTATTTATTCCAATGTCCTCAAATAAAACGAGCAATAATACGTAATTATAAAGACAAAACACACACTGAAGTGTATCTGTGGTATTTTTAATCTATCTCCACTCTCAAAATAACAAATTTTCCGTTTTTAAGCTGTGACTATGTATTACAAAAACTATTTCGATAAAAAGTAAACAAAAGTTTGTATTTATGTATGAAATATGAGTTGTTTGCGCATGGTAGCGAGTTTTTAATCGGATTTATGACAAGTGACAGATTATATCCCGAAAACGTCAGCGCAGTAAACCCTGCCCAGGGGGTGTCATTACTACTAAATTACTTATACTGGCATCATACTCTTGGAACAATTAGGTTCTGTCTAAAGTTACAATAGCTGTGAAAATAAAGGAAGTAATAAAATCAATATTCACATCATATAACTTATCAAATTAATTCATTCATAAACTTTTTTATATCCAAATTATGATTATAATATATAAAAAAAGCTAATGTTTGCTTGTCTGTCTAGAAATTTTGTTTACATCGCCTTTAATTCAAAAGATATAACACATAAACATGTTTTTTTTTATTTTATTCAAAAACAATAATTCTGTAGATACAGGGTTCTGACGTAGGACGGCAGTATAGTTTTTCCTACACAAAATAATTCAGTAGATATCTTTCGTGGAATGAAATAGCATTCATTTGAATTCTAGAACTATTGCCATAGAGATATAAAAACGATTAGATTAAATTATCAATTCAAGTTTCCAAAACTTTTTTATAGCTAATCAGTGGTGAAGTAAGGGCGTATCATGTTCGGTAAGTAACACTTCCTTAACAACTTTAAAGATTATTATTATCATCATAAATAAAAATAATATATTCAATGAAACATTTGTGTGGTAAAATTTTAATTCTATTATTGCAAAGCGACTTCCGTGACATCAAAACCTGTATACAGGAAGCTACTTTTTGATAGTAGCGTAGAATAATATTTATATTTATAGATAAATCACTACATATCATTAACATGTTTATAGTTAGTGGTCTGGTTGCGAATTAAGTACTTTATTAAATGTTTAAACTTTTTTAATACACAATTAAAAGACTAACGCAATGATTATGGGGCAATATTCTAGTAAATATTTTTCTGGAAAAATTTTTAATAATATTTACTTATACCTACTATACTTAAAATTCTGATTAAAAGTTTTTCGCGAAATTGAAAATGACATTAATAGTATATTACACACCGAGGTGGGAAGAGTTTCATTCCTGTCGTGAGATTAGTTAGATCTCGAGACAGGACTGAAACTTCCTACCGAGGTTTGTATCCTATTTTATTTACAACCATCATATTTCGATCAAAATTAATAAATCTCTGTTTCGTTCTGAACATACTTAAAATATTACATTTAACGACAAATTACCCCAGCTAGCACAAAAACATCCCATCTACGTTAATAAGCTCTTTAAGCTCGCATGCAATGTACTGTTAATGTAACCCTATCATCCCTGCAACCACCGAATGTCCGCAACGGCAAGACTTTTATAGCACATCTCACAGAGGTTACAAAATTAAAGTTCGGAAAACATCACACTAGCACTTTTACGGTACTTACCCCGAAAGTTGCTCTGAAACTTTCTATAGATGTTATAATGTGAATTCATTCTACAGCATTATACAGTGTGTCCTCGGATGGACTTAACAATACTTGTAAAAATATTTATTTTAAATTTAAAAGTACTTCTTCATAATTTCTTCTGCTTGTTAAATAAATAAGATTAACGTTGAGAAATTATGAAAAAGACCTCTTGAAAAATTTAAAATAAATATCTTTACAAGTATAGTTATGTCCATCCTTGGATACACTATATTCAAAATAGTACATTGAGGATATAGTAAAATCTGAAGAAAACAAAATAAAAAATTGTATAAATTTATTATTAAAAAGCTTTTGAAATCAAGAACCAATATCATACAAGTAGAGGTAGGTATTAATAATATAGGTAAAAAAAACACTGACAAATTGGACAAAAGTTGGTATAAAGGGTATATAAGGAATATCTCAAAGGTTCACTAGAATCGAAAACACTGAACGCTTGCACGAAAGAGTGTAATAAGGTACCTATATTGCAAAGGCTCACTGGTAGCTAAAATGGTGCACGATTGTACAAAAGTAGTAAAAAGTGTATTTATATAAGTTATATAAGTTATTGAACGGTTTGATTGATAGTGACAGCCTGGTACACTTTATTAGATTCCTTGTTCCTGCCAGACTTACTAGGCATATGCAACTACTTTATGTAAATGCTCATAGAACTAACTATGGACAGAATTTATTTGTAGACCAACTGATATCCAATTACAATAAGTATTTTTCAAATTATGACATTTTAAAAGGTTTATTTTTTAAAGTGTCAACTTTTATTACACTATTGACTTCATTTTTATACTGTGACAATTTTATTAATTTCTTTTTTATTTTATTTTAATATTTTAACCATTTAGAACTTTATGTATCAGTAGCGTACTGTAAACAAATAAATATGTGAACTTAATTACATAGTTTCTTCCGTAAAAAGAACTTTGTAGATAATAAATTTACTTGTTTAATTATTATTAAGAAAATAATATATATAAAGAAAATAAAAAATATGCTCGTTTAAATTGTTGCACCTATTTTTAGTTGATTTTTACTTACTTTGTTTTTTTAAATAAATAATAACATTTATTTTGACTTTTACAAATTTGATACTTAATAATGGATGTTCAACTTATACAGAACAATGTTTTTTAGCATGATATTCTGCTATGAAAGAAAAAGAAATAATCTCAGATGTTACATATTCTTCTTCAACCAATTTTGTATTAACTTTAGCTCCTAATATTCTTGAGATTTTTACTAGAATTATAATCCAGCACAAAGGAAACCTAAAACACAATATTTTTAAAATTTATTTTTAGTGATTAAAATATTATTACACTAGGGCGACCATACGTACAGCAATTTTTCTGTATTGTAAAGCATTTTTAAAGTTTGTCCAGCAATTGGTATTGTGCAGCAAACGTACAGCAAAATGGCATAGGTATATATATCCAGTGAAATGCTGTATTTATCCACCAAAACGTCACTACTGTCCAGCAATGGTAATACTTAATTTACTGAAATGTAACAAATTTAAATGTTATTTATCTTTAGTGAACTACATGAGCAGTTCTATACTGCTGTTCTAGCAAGAAAGGTTTTATCTGCAAAATTAGCAGTTTTTTTTATGTGCATTTGTCTACATTTTATCTTTCTCGATACTGAAAAGGAATGTCTTTTTTGCAACAAAGGTACTAAAATGTTAAAAAGTTACACAAAAAAAGGTTTAAAAGATAATAAATATAAATTTTTAGATAGGAATTCTCTTGTTAGGATGGCAGTATATGACTTCTCTGTTTTTGTATTTTTATAATTGGGAGTAGGGTTGAGTATCGGTCAAAGGTATCAATACCGGTATCATGTGAGATACTTTGTGGTAGAGGCATCGATACTGTTCGATATTATGGTAAAGATATTGATATTTATAAGTCTCGAGTAACAAAGTATCGAAAAAGTAAAAGATTTTTGTTAAACGGCTGGCAACCCCCATTCAACAGGACGGAGTAGGGAACTTAACTAATAACAAGAGTGCATCAGTAAAGTATATTCTGTAGTCGACACCTTTTCTTTCTCTACTGGTACTCTACCTGGTACAAGTTATAGTGTCAATAACTGGCAATTTACCTTATAATTAAATAACAAAAAAACAGTGGTAACGCTTAATCATATTACCAAGTTTCACCACATGCAAAAACTAAAATATTTCAGTACAAATATATGAACAAACCTTATAATCTCTGACCACACACATAGCGATACAATACTTGCTTCTAAGTATCACTATGGCGATAGTATTGGTAATTCAGTAATTCAGTGCCTAAATATCGATACTTTCATTGTTTAATATCGTTACTTCTATATTATTAAGGCATCAATAAGATCCCTATTATCGTGTAAAATAAATATTTCATCATTTAATTGTATCTACTTGTTTACAATGATTTATTTTTTATTGTATTTGGAAATTGAAATTTTACCATCTAAAACAACAGACAATAAATTAGAAAATTAGAAAATTTATTGAAAAGAAGAAAACAACTTACCAAACTTATTCAAACGTATAGTTTCCAATTTCTTTAAAATCTCAAATACGTACAAGAAAAAGTGACAAGTGACATTTTTTTATGTTTTGTTGGTTATGACAAACGAATGGCTACGTTCGAAAGTCCATAGTACTTCTCGTGGAAACTTTTTTAGCAAGTTACTTAATTACGTTGTGTTATCATAACAGGCAAGTTAAATACGTAAGTAACAAATAGATGTTTCGCGAGGTTTTGATTTCCCTCAACAACTTCTCATTAACGTTGCAATTACGTTGTATGGGTATGTTATTATGTTCCCTTAAAACAACATCGCCGAAAGGCTTGGTAACGTTATGTGCTAGCTGGGATGATATCAACAGAACAACATGGATTCATGCAAAGCCGTTCCACCGTTACCAATCTTATAGATGTAACACATTACATTGCAGAAAATGTCGACAAGAGAATCCAGACGGATGTAATATACACCGACTTTTCCAAAAGCGTTTGATCGGCTTGATCATGGTATCTTGTTAAATAAACTTTCATGCCGTGGTTTTTCCCAATCACTGTTAAATTTATTTAAGTCTTACTTTTCCGACAGAAACCAATATTTTCACATTAACGGTTTCAAGTTGACTCAATATCTGACAACTTCCGGTGTTCCACTAGATTCTAATTAGGTCTTTTGTTATTTAACATATTTAGATAAATGATATAAGCAAAATTTTAGATACAGATATAAACTTTCTTCTATACGCCGATTATTTAAAGTTGTTCTGTCGTGTCGAAACGTTTGAGGACTGTGAAAGGCTTTTAGAAAATCTGCAACGTGTTGAGGAGTGGTGTCTTAATAATAACATTCCTCTTAACTTCTCGAAGTGTTTTATAATGTCTTATACCTTGAATCAATTCCCTTTAACTTTCAACTATAGCGTTAACAACACGATTCTTTAAAGACCTGTTACCATCACAGATCTTGGAATTACATTTAATCCCACTTTATCAATATAGAATCAATAGTATTAGCATCGTACAAAATGTATGGATTTATCGTTCGTAACAGTCGTGATTTTAACGAACGAAGACACTAAAATTATTGTATTATTCATTTGTCATATCTAAACTTGAATATGCCTCAGTGTGGGGCCTATTCTATCAGTTACATATTGATAGAATTGAAGCAGTCCAACGGAGATTATTAAAACTTTTAAGTTTTAAACAAGATGGAGTTTATCCCCTCATCATGATCTGCTACTTAGACATAGTTTTGGAGTCTTGATACAAGACGCAAATATTATTCTCTGGTATTGGTATTTAAGACAGTTCATTTTAAAGTTGATTTTTCATATTTGATTCATAGTCTTAATTTTGCAGTTCTTCCAATAGCTTCCAGGAACACGCGTACATTTTACTTGAATACACCCAGAACAAATGTTCTCTTAAAACCCCCTATATACACCATGTGTAATAATTATGCCAGCTTGATTTGTTTTATAGTTCAATTCATAATATTAGGTGTTATTTCTATAATAATGTTGTCTGAAATAATTAGTTTTACATATATTCATGAAATGCTAAAAAAACGATTCTCTTAGCTTTTTTCTTACCTGCTGTTCAATCAATTAGTACATTATTTCTAAATTTA